GTTTCAAACGGATCCGCGATGTTGACTGCCTACTTTATCTACCGCACACCTTAGATGTAATTATAGTCTACTTAAGATTTATCTGTACGAGCTGAGTCTAGCACCGATCTCCCTTTTTGAAAGTATCTATTCTAGGAGCAATAATAACGATGCGACGCTTGCGATGAATACCTAAAATCTCTTTTTTGCAAAAGTTATGAGCGGTAGTGTAATTGATTAAGCGGAGTGCTTAGTTCAGTAGAATATTGACAACAACAGTTTAGAGAGAACTTGAAGATGACCTGATCGGATTAGACTGTGCCTTCACGCAGAGGTCAAAGCATTGTGAGCGCACATATGCCTAGTACCCTCCGTAATAGAGTTTTTTTTTTTCGAAAAACCCAAACTTTGATTCCACAAGTTAGCTCAAGTTAACTGCATTTTGGTTGTTGATATAACCAAGGAGGCAACTGAAATAGTGTGGCTTTATGATAGTGCAGCTTATATCACCGAAGCACAGTTCTAATTCGTGCTTACCAATGCGAAAGTATGATTAGATCATATTATGAAATTTATGACAAGGCGATCTAACCAATTAATTTATGAAAACATTATATAATATTTTTGCACTTGGTGCACAGGACTATTTGCCCCTTTTATTAACTTACTTTATTTCCTATTCTGTCTATGTTCGTCCAAAAAAGAATATCTCCAGGTTTGGGACTAATAGTGTGGGACAACGATGGAAACACAGTTTCTAAAAAAATTGATAGGCTTAGATTGTATGATTGTCGAAATAGACCTCCGCCTCTCGTTGCTGTTTGCAAAATTAGAAGGAGAGTTGCAAAACGTCCTCCAAAATCTCGCATATCTTGATCCCAATGCCTTCCTTCCTTGTAGTCGATGTAGTCGTAGTGAGGTGCATAATGACCCCCGGGCAAGTATGATGAGACCTGGAATGGGAGTTTCTAAGAAGATAAAGGGGCTTGAGCAGCTTCAAATGGACTTGGATAAACTTAGAATATAATAAGATCTTCTGGCAATTAATAGAAAAGTATGCAGGACCCCTTGGTAAAATAAGGACAGCCTTCTCACAGCGAATTTTGTGTGAGCACATTGTGTCCGCTATTTGCGAAAGGAAACTTCCATAGATTTCTGTCGAAAGATTTGAGATATGGAAGCTGATTTGAAAACAGCGTAAAAGCATCTAGTTCTCTTACTTGTACAGCCAAGTTCATAAATATCTTGCCCTTATATGTTTTTATGGAGAGGCTGTAACCTGAAGTTACTAGTACAATCTTCATTTTGTGCCTAATAACCCGCAGATACAAACAACTTTCAATTGCGGCCGAGCGCGCACAATGGATAACTAGTGCTTCGTACAACTACATATTGATTGGTGGCCTTGACTGTTAGTCAAAGACCTATGAGCAATTTGAAATATAGAATTTGGAATATTCTCCTTTTGATTTACTGCGAAATAATAACCAGCATTTTTAGGTGAGCTAAAATCAGTACTGAAAAAAGCAACAGAAATAAATCCTACCTCCCAGATCTCGCTTCTTTTGAAATCCACTGCGGGAATTGATTTTTCTATCTTTCGAAAAACTACTCTAACTGCGTCGGTTTCTTCATGATCCATCTCACTTCCGTTTGCTTGACGATAACCACTCAAAGAATGTTTCCCTTCTTCGTTA